TCCAAAGTTCGAAGCCCCTGGAATTGCAGAACAGATGACACTTGTGTGTGAAATTTTAGGTACCAAAAAAACTTCAGCGGATAAAGCTCCACATATCAATTAAACAGTTTTTTCACATAATTTGTTTTACAAAGCAAGAGGTATGATGTGAAAGTTCTGCAGGTTCTAGCCCAAAATCAAGCAGTGAGTAAACTGTATGAATGCATTCTGCACAAACTCAACTCATCGTTGGTCAGGAGTACAGGTTGCCGTAGCAGATACCGAGGGAGACAGAAACTGTAGAGTAGAGAACGAGGAAGCCAGAGGGTGCCGAGAATGCGGCACGAGGTGGCGGCGATGTTGGGGACGACATCAGCCGATCAGTGGCGGCGTAAGGTGGCTGGATTCGCACGCCACAGGCACTTAGCCCGTACGTGATTATTTTGTTTTGGAATTAACTAATGGGAGATGCTAGCATCCTGACCTCTGACGTCTAGATCTGTTCAGACGCAGCTCCCACCAGCTAACTGTTAAAACGATTCCACCATCCGCGGTCTGGCGTCGCGGCTCACCTACATGAGTTCGATCTCAGGCTACTCGCACTAACATATCAATGGAGCGGTCTCTCTACCCTACCCGCGTAACAAAGAAGGGAGAGCACGTGGTCACGCTGCGCCGCCATCCCCCGACTCCCGCCGCGCCCCCTCCGTAGTCTGAGAACAGGGGCAGAGCTGCTTGAACTGTAATGGGTGCGGCCGCACCCATGGAAAAGTAAAAAAACAGTGATATAGTCTAAATTTTTACCGTATTCGCACCCATAAATTATATATCTTTGCACCCATAAGGCGAGCGCACCCCCCTCGGATTTAGTCTAGCTCCGCCCCTGTCTAAGAAGGATGCAAGACAGCAGAAGACGAGGAGACACAGAGGCGAGAAGGTAGATGCAACACACTATCTACTTTTAAAATATCCAAATACCACACTTGCAACATACGTATGAAGACAAATGAAACACTTCAAATATGCGTTTGAAACACTTGCAAAAACACTTAGAAACCATTGCAAACATATGCAACATCTAGATAAAATATTTGCAACATATGTGTGAAACATAAGCAACATCCAGATAAGCATTCTTACAACTTATGTCTGAAAAAACAGATAAAACATTAGGAACAGACGTTTGCAACATACGTGTACAACCATTGCAACATATGCAACATCACAATCTACTTTTACAACATCTATATGAAACACTTACAACATACCTTTGAAACATCAGCAACACTTGAAACAAACTCTTGCAACATGCACTTTCAAACGCAACATCTACTTGATGCTTACGAAATGGAGACTCACCGGCGTGTGGAGTTCACCGGAGGCGGCCGCACCATCACCACCATCGACCATATCGACTACGCCTACACGAGGCCGGTGGGACCCCTTCGTGGTCACCGGTATCCTGCCTCCACGTAGGCACGTAACCCCCCGCAACTCCTGCAATCGGCGCCGCAGTCACCACCACCATCGGATCTCTCACGCGAGCAGTGGATCTGGTGAAACAGTGAGAGAGATTGCTCATCGCTTCCAATCGGAGATGGAGCAAAACGGCCGGGGGTGGAGAGGGAGCAAGACAAGCGCTGGTACAGGCCGCAGTGGAGAGGGAGGCAGTCGGCTGGCACCGAGCAGACGATGAGGAACTTGAGTTCGAGCGGCATTCGGCAAACAACGAGAAAGAAACAGACGGATGACTAATGTGAAGATCGGAGGGGTTAGAAGGTGGGGTGATTAGGAGTGGGTGGCGACATAGAAGGCTATTGGATTGTTCGAGACCAACCATATTACATCCGGAAAATTAATGCCATCCGAACGCCTGCTCGTTCAATACGGTTAACTAATTGGCGGAGGTGGCTACCTCTGTTCAGTTGTAGACTCGATTCCGTTGTGGATTCGCAGCTGCGTCCGACGCGGACTCTGCTGAGTTTCTTCACCAACGGCGAGTCGTGGTCTACGACTGTAGCGGGGCAGGCAGCGCTGACACGAGGACCTCCTCGGAACCGGCCCGGTGACGCAGCAGCATGTGCTGCGCACGCGCGGCGTCCGACTCTGACACGGTGTCGAAGTCAGGTGCCTCCTGCTGCGGGCGATTAGGCAGCGGAGCGAGGCAATTCATGAGTTTTTTAAGTGTAGAGATTACCAGCAGATATGCCCATGTATTGCACAGAACCTTATACATATGTTGGACGTGAATCTAGATCACATAGGAGATACAGTGGGTACAAGACCAGTTTTGAGAAGTTAAAAAACAGGACAAAAAAGAAATAAAGAACAAATTGAAAGAAACGCTTTCATCTTTATAATATTCTTACTTATATAATATAGAAAAAAAAACGTGGGTTATAACATGATGTATAAACTTAATTATTTTATTATGTTGTCATCTAGATGATTTGTGGCTCGCAGATTATTCAACAATCATGCAATAATATGTTTCAGTTCGTCTTGAAAATCTGGATGATTGCTACTTGTCATGTGTACCAACTATACAATTCTACAAAGCAGTGGATTGTGTCATGGTAAAAGCATTTCTCCCCTGAGCAACCTGTCATGGAAAAGGTGCGCCGGTGTATTCCTCGTGGACTGGTTTGACCCCTGAAAATGCAACATAACAACTTTGCAGGAACACTTCCCGTTCACTTCGCTAAAACAAAAAAACCAAAACATTGTTCCGACTGATTTGTTTGTGAGAGAAAAATACCGTTTCGACTAAAAAATAAACTGAAAAGTACGGATTATAAGAGAAGCGATCGGGACCACCCTTACCTCCAAAACGGAAGCATGGCATGGAGCCCCTTTTCATCCGTGTGCCACGTCATGGATTCGGTAGAAACAGACTGGAACAGTTGGAAATTTTGAACTCTGTAACTATGCGGCTGGGCGCATCCTGGCAGGGTGTTTTTGCTTCTTTATTACAAAAGCCGTTCGTCATATACCTGACTCAGCGGAGTCCATCAGTTCATCCCGTGGCCGTGAGGGTTTACACTGGTCTCGCAGATCACAATCCATTATCCAGGTCTCCTTCAAATTTTCTTGTGCTGGGTTCAGTCAGTAGATGGATGGTGAAAGCAGAACAGCAGAAGAAAGGTTTGGTAGTGTTTTAGTTTGACCGGCAAATCACTTGGACCAACTAAGACATAGTTTATGATGACTTCCTTTTCGAGTGTTGAATGAAAGCCTCAAAGGAAAAAAGTTTTTCTCCCCCTACAAACACAGCCGTGATAATCTTTCAAAAGAAGATCTATATTAAATTCCGGAGAAAAAGTCTATATTTTCTCTCAAATACTTAAAAGTTTTACACATCATTATAATTAAGTAGAAGATTTGGCCCTATTCGCGTCGCTGAAAAGCAAGGCTGAAAAGTATTGTTCGTTGATTTGTTGTGAGAGAAAAACATTGTACCATGGTTGATAAGTTTAAGCAACCAGGGCCTTTAACCGTACAAACGACACGCTTCTTACCAGCACCATAGAGGGTCTACAAGATGCGTAGCGCCTAAAACGTCTTAGCATGCGAATTCAGGTTTGTGGTTCACACAATGATATTGCAGCCAAGGCGATAAACTAGCAACGCTATGGACGGTATGGAATTCGGGACACCTCATCACCTCCTACCACCCCGCCGAGGCCACCATCGTCAACACCGGCCACTACGTCATGGTACGTGACTTTGCTGAGATCGGGACACCGTACCGGCGGGCCGGTGGCTAGTAGATAGGCAGCTAATTATCCAGCCAGCAGCACTACCAGTAGCTAGCACACATACTCCTATCATATATTCCGTCAATCTATTAGTATAGGAATAGGGACTACCTATACTGAGGACTCTGGGTCGATGATGACGCCACCGGCTGCTGGTTGCTTGCATGCAGGTGAGCTTCAATGGCGACGCCGGGAGCATGCGGTGAGGACCTTTTCGCTTCGGTTTTGCCGTGAACGTCAAGTTGCATGCATTGACAAGTTACCGAATGCACAGGTTTGTTTGACGCGATCACCGGCCTCTCCGTCCTGAAGAAAAGAGTTCATCAGCTCCTCCCTGCCCGCCTCGCTCGTGTGTGTTATATACCATACCATGCCGGCGTCCCTACCCCTCCCAAACCTACAACGACCACAGAAACAAGCGGCGCACAAAGGACAGCTACTAGCATGGGTCCCGGTCGCCACTCTGCCGTCGGGGCGCTCCTCGCCGCGGCGCTGCTGCTCTCCGCCGCCGTCCCGGGCGCCAGAGCGCAGGCAGAAACAGGCGAGCTGTTCGACCGTCTGCATGCCGTGGGGTAGCATTTCGTGCTGCACCTGTCCACGTACATGTATTTGACTGGAGGGAGCACGCATTTTGTTGGTTGCAGAGGAAGAGGACTTCAGCTACATCCCGGGCGCGGATAACGGCCCGGAAAACTGGGGTAAGATCAAGGCGGAGTGGGCCAACTGCAGCGTGGGGCGGATGCAGTCCCCCATCGACCTCTCCGACGAGTGTGCCAAGCTGGTGCAATCCCTGGGCTACCTCATCACCTCCTACCGCCCCGCCGAGGCCACCATCGTCAACACCGGCCACAACGTCATGGTACGTGACTTTGCTGAGATTGGGACACCGTACCGGCCGGCCGGCGGCTAGTAGATAGGCAGCTAATTAACCAGCCAGCAGCACTACCAGTAGCTAGCACACATACTCCTATGATATATTCCGTCAATCTATTAGTATAGGAATAGGGACTACATATATTGAGGATTCTGGGTCGCTGATGACGCCACCGGCTGCTGGTTGCTTGCATGCAGGTGAGCTTCAATGGCGACGCCGGGAGCCTGGTGATCAACGGCACGACGTACAACCTCAAGCAGCTGCACTGGCACACGCCCAGCGAGCACACCATCGCCGGCCGCAGGTGAGGGTGTCAATCTACTCCTAAAGAGACGAGAGCAAACGGTACTAATGTAAAGGCTCCGAGACGCGCGCTCGCTCGTACGCAGGTACGACCTGGAGCTGCACCTGGTGCACCAGACCTCCGCGAACAAGACGGCGGTGATCGGCATCCTCTACGAGATCGGCGCCATCAAGGACCCGTTCCTGCTCTGGCTAGAGCCCTCCATCAGGAGCATCGAGAACACGAAGGACCAGCCGAAGGACATCGGGGTTGTAGACCCCAACGGTGCGTGCGGCATCGGCAGCGTGTACTACCGCTACATGGGCTCGCTCACCACGCCGCCCTGCACCGAGGAGGTCGTCTGGACCGTCGTCAACAAGGTACATACGCTCCGGCTCTTGTTTGCTCCACCGGCCGGGGTGGCGTTGGCGAGGGAAGCTAGCTGTTACTGGCGTTTCCTCAAGCTAAGCTTTCAAGTGCATGCTTTGTGTGCAGATTAGCCCCGTGGGCAAGGACCAGGTGAAGCTTCTCAGGGATGCGCTGCAAGACGTAAGAGTTCATCTCCATAACTAATTTCCACACGCCTCTGGCCAAAAGCCAGTATGAACGCACGCTGGTTTTGGTTCTTGGGTCTTGTTGAGATACCCTCAAAATTTCAAGTTTTTTCGCTCTCTCTCCATCACATCAATTTTTAGCCGTTTGCATGGAGCATTAAATGTAGGTAAAAAAAAACTAATTACACAGTTTAGTTGGAAATCACGAGATGAATCTTTTGAGCTTAGTTGGTCCACAATTGGACAATATTTACCAAATAAGACGAAAGTACTACTATTCATCGGGTTGAAATTTCTTTAGACAAGGCCTTGTAAGCTGATTAAAGTCCCTTTGTTGCGTGTTCTTACCTGCAGGGCAATACGATGAACGCGAGGCCGCTCCAGGAGGTGAACAACAGAGACATCAGCATTTTCTGCCCCAAGCCCTATGATTATTACTAGTATAATGCATCACATTTATATCACATTTCGATACCTTGTTATAGCATATGACGATATATGTACTCATTCCATCCTAAATCATAAGTAATTCGATCTAATTTTTTTTAGAGAGTCAAACTATCTTAAGTTTGACCAAAATTATAAAGAAAATTAGAAAAAAAAATTATGATATATATATACTATAAAAACATAATCAATGAAGAAACTAATGTTACTTGTTTGATATCATAAATGTTATTATTTTATTATACAGAGAGAGCTACTTCAAACTGCACGTAAGGCACCACGTGCCTAAACAAGTATAATTCTTGTATCTCACGTGCTACCCATATGATTTCCTGTACGTGAATACGTTGATCGATATTGGCATAGTAAATTCTTCCGATACCTTCAATCCCACCGGAGTACGACTGTGTTGCCATTCGAAAAACATGGTATCTTTGTCCCTTGTATGGTACAAGATACCTTTTTTATTAGGATATCCTCAATCCACTAGATAATACTTCCCTACATTTTATATTTGTAGGTTACTTAAATAAACACCTCAGATCCTTGTACATTGCACAAAAATGCATTGGAATGTAAATGAAACATACATTCAGGAGGGTGTGGGAATTGTACATTGCACGCCTGACGCTGTTCTTGATGTGAAACCTCATGTATGGCCCGTCATGGCTACGGGTTACATCGGGGCGTGCCGAATATCTTCCTTGGTGTCAGAGTTTTGATCCAGGCCTATACGCCTGGACCTGTAGTGGTTGGCGGAGGTATGGACTCCGTCGGGCGAGACAGAGCTCGAACCCAAGGGGTCGGGCGAGGCGGAGCGCAAACCCAAGGTCAGGTGAGGCGGATCCCGTGGCCTTGAGGTCGGGCGAGACGGGGCCCGCGACCTTTGGGTCGGGCGAGGCGGAGCCCGCGGCCTCGGGGTCGGGCGAGGCGGAGCCCTCCCCCATAGGTCGGACGAGGCGGAGCCCGCGCACCTGGAGTCGGTTGGAGCTGTAGTCGCGCTCTTGACAGCTCGGATGAATCAATGTCGATGGCCATTAGCTCCTCGCTATACCATGGCTGATAAGTTCAAGCAAACATGGCCTTTAACCATACAAACGACGCGCTTCTTGCAAGCGCCATAGAGGGTCTACAAGATGCGTAGCGCCTAAAACGTCCTAGCATGCGAATTCAGGTTTGTGGTTCACAATGATATTGCAGCCAAGGCGATAAACTAGCAACACTATGGACGGTATGGAATTCGATATCTTTTTCCCAAATCTAGTCTTCATCACCAAACTATCCTGCATGATAGGGGCTATTTGGTTCTCTGGCTTCCCCCTGTCCAGGCTCCACGAAGCCAACTTGGGCCTACTTGGTTGCTTGATCAGGCCTCCAAGTCAGTCCCTAGCTAGCCATCTATGAGCACTTAGCCAGACTTGGTGAAAACAAAGGGGTGGGCGTTTCCGCCTAGCCAGCTTGTGCCAGCGCTCCCCTCATCTCTGCACTCGCATCTCCCTCGACCACCATCGTGGCTCCTCCATCTTTTTCGCGCTCGAGCGCCACCGCACCTCGCCGCCTCCACACCCTATCCGGTCCCGCACATCACTCGCACCGGCTACCGTGCCTCTACCCCCACCGGTCGTAGCCCCATCAGATGGGGATGGGCATGAAGGAGAGGATGAACAGTTGATGGTGACGGGAGGTGATTTGAGCTAAAAGACACCTTCACAAGAAGAGATGAGGGAATCCAAGGTAAGCAAGCAACTAAACAAGATCTAGACAAACCTAACTTCACTAAACCAAACAAGAGCCTCTTGCACTGTGGGAGCCAGGCTAGCTACAGATATCTTGGCCTAGTTGGCTAGCCAGGCCATCCTTAAACACGAACTAAACACACCCATAAAGAACTCAGCTTTGGGGGCATTTTCGAGTGTTAACAACACGTTGGTCACCATGTGCAGAGCCAGCAAGCTGGTCCAACAGCGACGGCGTTGAATATGCAAGCAGGGGGAACGTGTCTAATGGCGGCACTGCGTCAGTAGCTTCTCGCGCAAGAGTGGAGAGCAATATGAAAACAAAAATTTGAAGTGGAAGGATTCGGCCCAGGGACGCGACGTACCAACGGAAGCCAGCTGCCGGTGGTGCCACGAGTGATCGCCCGGTGCTTATCAACCTCTTGAGACGTCGCCTTCCCAGGGCTTGCTTTATCCTGCAATCGCCATGTCACCGTGATGGGCATGGGCCTCCTCTTATCTCTGCAAAGTTTAATTTGGAAAAAACAAGCACGCCGGCTGGACACGTCAAAGTACGAGACTTTTCCTTAGGCTGTACGAGACTTTTACTGACGCTGTGTTTAGTTCGTGAATTTTGAGAATTTAGTTATTGTATTATTTTTGTTTTTATTTGATAATTAGTGTTCAATCATGGACTAATTAGGTTTAAAACGTTCGTCTCGTAATTTTCAACCAAACTGTGTAATTAGTTTTTTTATCTACATTTAATGTTCTATACACATAACGCAAGATTCAATGTAATTGCTACTGGAACACTTTTTGAACTAAACGAGCCCTTATATAATATATTAGCTCGACAAAGCCATGCCTGCGTCACGCCCGGTTTGGCCTGCAGTGGCTCGTGTGCTGCTGCCTGCAGACAACCATTTTTGTGATATAATACTACCGTGTAGACCACTTCTGTGATACTGGACTCGCCAAGCGTGTGTACTAGTTCTTTTCAGTTTCGATGCAGTATATGGTGATTGGATTGGACAAAACATCGGCACCATCTCGGTGCGCGCACCTTTTTGTTCGCAGAGCAGCAGCACGCCATCGCCATGCGCACATGCAACAGTAGCAGGGCAAGTCGATCTGTCGATGCTGCGAAAGGGGCAGAAACAGATCTAATTAACGGAAAACATGCGTTGTTTTGGAGTACTAAGCAGGTCGTGCTTACGAGAAGTTATGATGGCACGGCAAAGTGTTGTGAATGGCGACAAGGTCAGAGCACACAGCATCAGAAGATCGTTTCCACAATGCAAGATCTCGCAGCATTCAAGTTCAACACAAACAGACAATTTCATCACCTGTCTCAAAAGAGCAGAAGACGTTGACAGACGACTCCCAAAAAAAAGAGCTTCAGGTAAAAAAAAAAAAGAGGTTCAGGTCAAAAAAAAAAGTTTCAGGAGGAATAATACTAGGTCAGCTTATCCAACAAAGTGAAAACCTAAGAGCAACTTCGACGGTCTAGGTAAATGTACTTGTGAAACCATTTCTAGCTGTTGTACTAAAAAAAACATTCCAGCAGTTTGTTTTATTGTTTTTGTCGGATACCATAGAAAGAGGTATCCTAAGTAAGAACCGAAAAAAATGCTTAGACCTTGTAAATACCAAAGCCAAGAGACAACCGCGCGGGCCTCGGCCAATTCTCCGATTCGCCCGAGACTCACGCCGCAAGGCCTCGGCAGATTCTCCGGTTCGTCCGAGGCCCACGCCGCAAGGCCTCGGACGAGCTACCAACTCTCCGCCTCGCCCGAGACCCCTCGCCCTCGGCCCCACCCGAAAGGCCTCGGGCGAGGTACCGATTCTCCGTCTCGCTCGAGGCCGGCTCGGCATCAGTCCCGACGCAGCTTTGACCGACCACCATGACAGAGCGTCACACTCAACCAATGCGTCCAACCACTCTCCATAGAACGCAGCCCACACTCGGCGTGGTACAGGTGGAGTGGGCGACGGATGGGAGTCACATCATCGGCGCCATGCAATCCGGGACAGACGGGCAGGGGTTACCACCAGCCGCATACGGTGCCGTGCCCACGATCGACACCCATGCGGCATTGTGTTACCTAACCCCACCCCGCCTCCGGCGGCGGTGTGGCGTGGAGAGTCATGTCGAGCCCTCAGAGCCTCGGAATCAGCATAAAAAACAAATCGCTCCCTCCGAGCCTCGGCAAATCGCTTCCTCGCTCCCGTAGTCTCGGGACTCGCGCCTGCCGAGCCCCCCATGACGGCCCGGCCTCTGCATCAACCGGGCCTCGGCTCTACGTTGTCAACACTGGCTGGCGTGCAAGTCGCCTGCGTGAACGCGCCATACCGCGCGCCAGTCAGCAGGAGTTCCCACGTCGCTTATGTGGCTGAGCTCCCCGTATCCTCGAGTCGACACCCGCGCCATCGCATCAACCCGGCCTCGGCACTCCGCGCGCCGGTCCAACGTCTGACAACCAACCAAAGACGCTTCCAACGCACCGCCACCATAGGAGCTCCCACGCCGCACAGGCTAAGCGCGGACCGCGCGTCGCTCGAGTAGCAAGGACAAGACCCTCCATCAACCATACCGCCCGTGATAACGAGCTATGTGGTCGCACGCGCCGCCTCGCCACACAACGCACCACGTAGTAAACGCATGTACCGCCCCTGTCCTCTCCTTCAACTATAAAAGGGGGCGACCGGGGCCGTTTCTAGGACAAGGAGAGACACCCGACGAGCGCACACACACACACACTCATAGAGACATCGCTCAGATAGACAAACGCGCAAGCAACGAGTAACACTCTGTAATACACCCGCTCCTCACTGCGAGAGATCAACATCTCAAACAACCCACGCCGCTCCACGCAGAGACCTGGGACTAACCCCCTCTCTCGCCCTGCTTGTAAACCCCTACTACAAGCACTTCGGTGCAAGGAATACAAGACCGCTCTCTCAGACTGGACGTAGGGCACCTATTGCCTGAACCAGTATAAACCTTGTGTCTCTTTGCGTCACCATCCGGGATAGGGACACGCAGTACGTTTTCACTCGTTGGTTGAGGACCCACCGGTCCAAAACACCGACAGTTGGCGCGCCAGGTAGGGGTTCATACTGCGTGTTAGCTTAATCATCCCAACAAGTTCCGGATGGCAGACCCCGTGCGACCTCTACATCTCGGCACGGTGATCTGGTTTGGGAGCCTAGAGTTCATGTCTCTAGGATGTGAGTATGATATGGTACTCCTCACGCCCAGAGCCCCACCGACCG